TGCACTGAAATTGCATGAAGCATATGCACAATTGTCCCTGCATCTGCTATTCATTATTAATGGTTAGTTTGATTTGCTTATATTGTCTTTTTTTACTAGGATTGAGACTTGTATAATATTTATCATTGTGTCAGCTCTATGCACCTGACCATCTTCTTACGTCTATCCGTCAGGGTCACGTCACGGTGGGGCCGGTTCCTATCCAGCACTCTATGGGTGAGAGGCGGGGTACACCCTACTGATGTCACCAGGGTGTCGCAGGGCAAACCCAGAGATACACAAAGACATACAAACATGCACATTAACACATTAGGATCATTTTAGAGAAGCCAAGTAACCTAACAGTCATGTTTTCAGACTGTGGGGAAAGAAGCAGGAGTACCCAGAGAGAACCCACGCATGCACAGGGAGAACATGCAACTCCATACAGAAAGACCCCAGGAATCAAACCCACAACCTTCTTGCTATGCCACCGTGCAGCCCTACAGTATCGCTGTATCAGGTTAAAAATATCGGCAGCACGATCTGTGATCGGCTAATAAAATATTTGGTATCTGTAAAAAAAACTTTATCTGTTTATATTTTTATCAGTTATTGAGCATTAGATTAATCCATGGTATTAAAATTTATATTTTGGCATTTTTCACCGTAAAAAATAGTCACATAACTTTAAGCGCATTAGCTCACAAACTTCATGGTGCCTCCACACCAACTTTAGAAACAAAGTTACAGACTTTCTAACTATGGAAACCAAAGAACCACATAGATTGAAGAATGTGTTTATTAAACGCTTCTTTTTCCACCAGAGAGACCTTCAAAAGGTGGAACGCTGAAGCTGTTATTCTGCTCTCGGTTCGTCTTCCTCAGGGCCGTCCACAGAGAAGACAGTGATACGTGGGATTTCCTGTCACGCCTTCGTCCTTCAGCTCTTTCAGAAGAACCTCCATGGTTGTGTTCCATTGCTCACTGCTGCTTTTGGTCGTCAGGCAGTCTTTTGTAAAATATGCAGATGGTCTCCCTGAAATTTGCAAAGCGGCTTCTGGATCCAAACAAAAAAGCATAATTTTTCAATGTTTCAAAACGATTACCAGAGGAACTGTACAACAGCTTTTGTAGTGAAAAAAAGGTTTAGTTAAATTTATGTTAAACTAATCTTCACAGGCAATTAAAAGCAATAAGAAGTAGCAGACTCACTATTGCACACAGCCAGTCTGTTCCCTCCTACATATAGGCTGCTCCATCGATAATTAGTTTGTTCGCCACATTCCTCAAACAAGCGACTCCTCCTCAGGAAACTAAAATCATATCCCTGTGAAGAAAAATTACGGTTATGATTTTTGAATAAAAAGTCAGATCTGATGACCCTTTCAGCACAGCTTTAGACTTTTATTTGGGAGTGTATGCATTATTATGCAGGACTTACAGAATCGCAGATGGGTTTGCAGTAACGCTTGTTTGAGGCCGTCACACACGCCAGGCCTCCATTACTGGGCGCCTCGGGCTGCTGGCACATCTTTGGCTCAGCCTCCTGGCATTCTGTACGTCAATGAATAATTAGTAAATGCATCATAAAACATTTAAAAGCTTTAGAAGTTCAATTGGAGGGACCGTTTTTGTTTATTTAGTCATTTGCTTTAAAGCAGTTGTTTTTATGTGTAATAAATGTTATATAAGGGAACAAAGGAGGTGTGGAAGGCTAAGGCAGGGAAGCATTATTAAACCCTTAAATGAAGTAAAATACACGCAGTATGAAAATCTCTTTTATGTTGAACTGAATTGAATTGTCTCACCTAAGAAACAGGCAATTTTTAGATATAGCTACGTTTTTACAACAAATATTCAACAAAATAAGTAAGTAAACAAATAATACAGCAGACATTTTGAAACACAACACATGACTGATTCCAGCCATCCTTTGTTGGGGAGTTTAAAGGTACATATTTAGGTTATATGCCTTTCACAAAAAGACACAAAGCTACAGCAGTAGCCATTCAATTACCCCATTT